GAAAATTATCTTGCTCAATTGTTAGTTGGATTATGATACTTAAAAGAACTACATATGAGAAAGAAAGTTTGTCCGCTCAATTGTTGGCACACTTATTTTCTTATCTTTATATATCTAAAATTGCTACATATGAGAGAAAATTGTCTTAGGTTGTTCAATTTTTCCGCTCAATTGTTAGCAAACTTATATTGTAATATGTAGAAGTATTACATGTGAGAGAGAAAATTCTCCCGCTCAAATTAAGAAGCTTATTTTATGTTACTCAGAACCACTACATATGAGAGATAAAGTTCTCACGCTCAACTGTTAGTCGGCTTATCTTATCTTATCTTATTTTATACTTAAAGGCACTACATATGAGAGAGAGAGAGATTTCCCGCTCAATTATTAGCAAATTTATCTTCTAATAATACCTAAAAGCGTTACATATGAGAGAGAAAATTTTCCCGCTCAATTGTTAGCAAGTGTATCTTCTGATACATTGAAACGCTACATGTGAGAGAGAAAATTCATCCGCTCAATTATTAGCAAGCTTATGTTCTTATACATAAAACCGCTACATATGAGAGACAAAATTCTTTTGCTCAATTGTTAGCCGGCTTATCTTATACTTAAAAGAACTACATATGAGAGAGTTTTTCCGCTCAATATCTAAAAGCACTACATATGAGAGAAACTTTTTCCGCTCAATTTCTCTGCTCAATTGTTAGCATGGTTATCTTCTCATACATAGAAAGTTAGAAACACTATATATTAGAGAGAAAATTCTTCCGCTTAAATTTAAATACTATTCTCAAAAAGTGGGTGCAATAAGTGAGTAACATAAACTTTAAATGAATACAATACATATTATAATTGACGATATTAGTTAAATGAGAACTGCTACTCATTAGTACTAACGTATGAAGAGAAAATTATCATGCTAAATTGTTAGCTGATTTATCTTATACCTAAAAAACCAAATATGAGACATAATTCTCTCGCTCAGTTGTTAGCTAGCATATCTTATACTTTAAAAAACTACATATATGAGAGAGAAATCATTGTTCAATTGTAAGCAAGTTTATCTTCTAATACCTAAAAGCACAACATATGAGAGGAAATCTTCCGCTCAATTATTAGCAATCTTATGTCTTCTTATATCTAAGATCACTACATATGAAAGAGAATCTTTTCCTGTTCAATTGTTAGCCGGTTTATCACATTATTTTCTTCTTCTTATACCTAAAAGCACTAGATATGGGAGAGAAAATTCTCCCGCTCAATTGTAAGTGGGATTATCATACTTAAAAAAATTACATATGAGAAAGAAAGTTATCTCGCTCAATTATTTGAAAGCTTATCTTCTTATTTTCATATACATAAAGCAAGATATATGAGAGAGGAAATTATCCCACTCAATTGTGAGCCGACTTACCTTATATAAGGAATACTTAAAGTAACTACATATGAGAGAGAAAGTTATTTCGATCAATTGTAAGAAAAGTTATCTTTTAATACCTAAAAGCAAGTTTATCTGCTAATATCTAGAAGCACTATATATGAATATCTTTTACAGATATTGATCTCATATCAAAGATAAAAATATATGAATTTTGATATATTTTATGTAAACATTGGAACAAGAATAAAAAAGTTATAACACTTCAAAACAAATAAGTTTTTATGCATAATCCTGATATAGAAATTTGTCCATGTTTACCAGATTCTAAAATAAGAATTGGAAAGGTCTAAAATCCTACATGCGGTTGTGAAGTAGCCATGTTGCAGAAAATAACACCAATGTTCAACAAACCAATCATGAATTATAAAAATTAAAATCAAGCTAAAGATCATATGACGGAGATGATGGTAAGAAAATTAACTACGGAGTATTATAACTTTATATTTCTTATTGTTGATGTTCCGTATGAGTCTCATTGAGCGGCTTTAATAGACAAAGTGACAATATAGAATCTGTTTGGTATCATTGAAATTGATTGAATCGAATGAATCTATTAAAATTGATGAAATTCTAGCTGTAATATCTAATTTGGCTGCATATGTTAAATTATGTAAAAAGTACATTTGAAATCTATGTTATTAATAAAACAGAAAAAAATATATATATGAAAAATAGCTAAAAATGATTATCTATAGTAAATTTAATCAATTCAACTTAAAAAGTAACTCTAGGAGCCCCTTTGGTAGTATAAAAATTGGCTGATTTGGCTGATTCTACTGATTTAATAAAATAAAGAAAAAATATATGTAAAAATAGGTAAAATGGTCATCTACGGTAACTTCAGCCAATACAGTCAGAAAAGTAACTCCAACCTTACTTTTTCTGCTCATTACACAATTCAGCGCGCGAAAGCAAAAATTGCGTGTTTGATGAAAAAGTTGGTTGATAAGCTTGATAAAGTGAAAAATAGTGTTGTCAAACGACCTCTAGATCTCTACTCCTACTCATTTTGATTTTTACACATTTTAGCGCTGATTTATTAGCTATACATTTATATATCCAATATTGATCTCATTTGAAATATCACAAAAAATTATAAGTTTTGATATATACTTTTTGTAAAATTTGAAGTAAAAATGAAAAAGTTATAACACTTCAAAAAATTGGGATTTTGATACTTTGGGCCCCACCCACTACAACTCCCTGCCGTGAGCCATCTTCCTTGTTTTGGGTGTATTCGGTACTTTCAAGTGAAAGTAGTCACGTGGCTTTAAGTTAGCAAAGGAGAGAATTGTGCATAGTTGGACACATGTGATTTTTTGAGGACAATTTTGTCTTTTAATGAGTTATCTCTTTTCTTATAGAGCACTTCAGTTATAAAATAAAAAATTATTTTCAATTCTCTCCTTTGTGGAAGGTCTTGGGTTCAATTCCACCAAGGGAGATGAGGGAGGTCTTACTCCCAATGATTCTTCCTACCTTCACGGAGTTGCTCAGTGGCTGAGAAGGGAGAGGAAGGTAATGAAGACAGCGGATTCGTGTGGTGGGAGGAGCAGCCTGAAAGGTGATGTAAGTTCTGTTGGATTCGTCCTTTGGAGCCAGTACTGACGAGGCTAACTGTGATCAGATCCAGATTTAAGTGTCTAGGGGCTTTAATTTGGAGGGTAGTTCATGATAGACTGCTGGATTATGGGAGCGTAAGCCCCGACACCTGGATTATCAAAAAAGTGAAGATTGGATTATCCGATATTTTCATTAAAAAATTATTGTTTCATTGATTTATTTTTTTGAACATACGGAGAGTATAATCATAATTATAAATTGGGTTAATTATCAAAATATGACTAAAAGTCATTCACTTTGCACAAATACGATCAAAAGGTAAACTATGTTTTCATAGGACTAATTATGTGTGTCCTGGACAAATATATCCTTATAGCTATTGAAATGTTTTAATTCATAATAAATTAATAAAAAATAATAAAAATTCGTAAAAAATACTAAAAAAATAATAAAAATATTTCGGTAATAATAATTTATTTATTTATTTATTTTCAAAAAATAAAAAAATAATTTTTTTAAAAAAATAAAAAACTCAAAAAATAAAAATAAAATTCACCGCCGTCTCTGCCGCCTCTGCACCACCACCTCCAGTCACATGAGGAAAAAATGCCAAGTTCAATACGAATGCCATATTTATGGCAGAAAACAATGAAAATGTTGGCATTCTCAAATAGAAATATGCCATGTTTTTGGTATTTTCAGAAGAAAAAAATGGCATTTTTTTTGGGAAAATGGCATTTTTTTTCACCGGCCGGAGATGGTGGTGCAGGGAGGTAGTAGAGGCGGTGGGAAAGGAATCCATATATTTTTTAATTTTTTTAATGGAGTTTTACTATTTTTTACTCCGTATTAATTTTCAAAAGAAATAAAAAATTAAAAAAAAAAAAAATTTATTTTATAAATTTTTTATAAATTTTGTATTTATTTTTCTACGAATTTTTGAATTTTTTTCAATTTTATTATGAATTAAACATTTAATTAACTCATATATAAAGGAAGGGTAAGAATGGAATGAAAAAATAGGTATGGTTCCAATAGGACTAATATGATCCTATTTTGAAAAGAAAAACATAATAAGTCCTATTTTGAGTTTTTGCCATAGTTTTAGTCCTATTTGGAGTAATTTCTACTATAAATTTGAGATCAAGTGCAATTTTCCGATTTGTAAAATTGTAGCTATTATAAACATAATGTGAGGCCTAAATGTTGGTAAACCCATTCATAATTTCTGAAAATATCGTGTGTGTACTAATGATTTTTTTTGAATAAAAAAGAAGAGTCCTACACCAGTGAAAAAAATTGCCCTCGGCCTACACTGACGGAAAAAATTTCGCTCCCTTTAACCTTGAATCATTGATTCGTCCCTCTTCGATACCATGTCGTTTTCAAAAACACACATTTAGCTAATTGGGGGACGAATACATGCACACTTAAACTATAAATTAAAATTGTTGGTCTGAATAAGATATTTATTGAAAGGTGAAAAATAAAAATCTCAAATATATTATTTTTGAACGATTAAGTTTGGTATTTTTCGATTCTCAAAAGCTATTTTCGATTCTCAAAAGCTATTTTCGATTCTCAAAATCTAGAATACGTTGTGTACCCTATTCAAACGGTACAATTTTGATGCGTGATAAAATCTATAAAACCATTACTTGTTGATAGTTGATACAGTACAAGTTCATTTTAGTTTTTATGTCCACTTAAGTCAAGCTATATACAGTATTTTTAAATCGATTGAAACTCATTCGAATTGACAATTCCTAAGCATGACTCGATTAAAGAAGAACTCAAGCTTGACCAAATCACACTTAAACAAATCAAATCAAATCAACTTGACTTCCGTATTTATAAAATACCAAACGTTTATGAAATCGGACCAAGTAAAAATATCCTTTTACCCCCGACTATTGAAAGCGAAATCATACTTGGAAAATGAATGAAAGTCAACAAGCATTCTTAATTGGAAATGCGATGAAAGTGAATGGACCAAAATGGGGTTATCTTCCATCACAACAAAAAAGGCATGAACGTCTCCCAACCGCCATTTCTTGTTCCTTCGGAAACCATGGAGCTCCTCCCATACTCTAGACGTCTCTCTCCCAACTCATCCCCAAAACAACTTCACCAAAATGCATTTTCCTTTTGGCTCCACCGACTCCATCTTCACCTCCAAAAGCTCCCCGCAGGGCTGCAACCTTGCCCATCTAACTCGCCGCGTCCATTTCATTGCCATAACAACTCATCGACATTACGAGGTGTACATCGAACGGAAATTGCATGTAGAAAATCGAAAATTTTGGTGGCAAAGCTCAAATAAAACTTGTATATTTCCGGCCTATTGAATGAGTTATGGAGGATGTGTTGGAATGATTGAAATGAGCGGAACGAGGATTTCCGTTCCATGTTTGCTGCTTCTGATTCTTTCTTTAGCATCATTCGGGACTGTTTGGTGTGATGATGGGGATGAATCCGATGGTGATATTGGTGAGGGCCATCAAGCTGCTGCAGTGCCGATTGTTTCATCTCTCATATATACTCAAATTTCTAACCTTACAAAGGTTTATAACAAAGATATCAACAGGGAGCTAGGATTTTGCATTAATGATGTGTGAGTTTCTCTCTATGTGATTAATGATAATTATACTATATACTCCGTATTAGCTAATACTCACAGTCAACCTTTTTTCTGTTTGACTGATTCCAGAGATGCAGATGTCAATGCAGCTTTCAATTTTTCAAAAAATTTGGATTTCATGAGTAACTGTTATAAACAGACAAAAGGTACTCCTTCAACTATACTTTTAATTTCCCGGAAACAATGTAGGTGGCAAAGGTTGATTATGATGAGAAAAACAACACAAGCAATAATCACAAAGAGCAGATAGCACAAACTTAATGCACCAAAAAAAAACACAACGATTTTACGTGGAAAACCTCTCCAATGTGAAGAGATAAAAAACCACGGGACACGGAGTCCACCAAAAATTCACTATGATCAAATGGAGTGTTACAGAAACTCAGTTCAACAATCACCAATAGGTTAACAACCCTTGTGGAAAGAATCTGCCTTAAACTAGGAAGACAGTTTAGAGGCACAGAAAAAAGGTCACCAGAAAACAGGGTCACAAACTGAGGGCCATTCCCGATAAATCAGAGAAGCAAATACGATCTCCACCGTTCAGGTTAAAACTCAAGGTGTTACCGACGATCAGTTCAAATTTCAACCAAATCGGACACCGTTTGATCTTCGATCTTGGTGTTTGATCAAAACTGCGCAGTCTGAAATTCGCCTAGACCTGCACTATTTTCTCAACGTCTTTTTCTGTTTTTGCAGCACATCCATACATCAAAATGAAGCAAAGTACAAAACCCTTTAACAGGATTAAAAACTTGGGCCAAGAGCCATTATGGGCTGCCCCAAGATCAAATAAAACAAAGTTGGATTTTTCCACATAGGAAGGGACCCAAACAACCCAACAGATTAGACATTGCATTGTGAGGCATTAGATTAGTGCCACAATTATTACATTCAAGGGAGAACTATATCATCACCACTTAATCCCAACTAATTGTAGTTAACCCTATAATTCCATGCAAAAGAATATAGTGGCCAAGTTTTATGCTAAATGCCCTTAAGGTACACCCTTCTTAATTGAAACAGATAAAGTTCCAAAACCTTCATCAAAAGCAATAGGTTTTTCCACGAGTATGGATATTATTGCTCCCACGATCCCATTTTATGTATATAGGCAAGACTGAAGAAATTTACGATTCCTTTATTGTAATGTTTGATACGGTGTACGGAGTATAATATAATCAAAATAAAACTGGCATAATTAAAAAGTACATTTAGAGTTATTCCGTATATAAAAAAGTAGTGGCATGACTATTTTATTTTATTCATGAGAAAAGATAGTACAGAAGTTAAGCTAAGAACGAAGATGCAGACTAACACTAACCAATGAATAGTATCTAAGACAGGTATAATGGGACAAGGTGGTCATGAAAATAGAATTTAGTCATGATAGGTGATAGAAAAGAAATTATGCATTTTTCTAGGAGAAACCAACTCTGCCATTTCCGTTGTTTTACTTGTACATAGAAGCTCTGTAGACAGCTCAATATTTTTTACATCTACCTCTCTCCTAATCCTTAACAGTCGCTTCGGCATGTGAACAGATGTAAGACAACGGCTATGTACTGCTGCAGAAATAAAATTCTACTTCACCAGTTTTTTGGATACAAGATCAGCAGAGGTTCAATTCTTAAAACCCAACCGAAATTGTAATTTGACATCCTGGGTTCCTGGATGTGAACCAGGATGGTCTTGCAGTGTTCCTGAGGATGAAAAAGTGGATCTTAAGAACTCCAAGGATGTACCTGAGCGAACTCTTAATAGTCAGCCTTGTTGTGAGGGGTTCTTTTGCCCTCGAGGTCTCACTTGCATGATACGTGAGTTCTTCTATACACCAATGTTCTATTTAAAAGTGGTCACTTTTACAATTGTTTGTAAAACTGAATTTAGTATTGCAAATAAACTGTTTTTATTTTTGGAGCAGAGGGAGAGTAATGCTTATTTAGCTTGATTGAAGTTTCTAGTGTTAACTCTCACTCATTCCTAGTAAATAGATGTAAATATATCAGGGAAGGGTATGGCAAAATAATTTACTAACATACTCATCAAAAGGCAACAAATGATCAAGTTAGTCATGCTTTTCCTTTTTGCGTATATGAAGCAGTGACAATTTTAAAATCACAAGCCATCATCACTATGCAGATTTTAATTCCGGTCGCTTGATTTGCTTTTCTTTTTTATTCTTTACTATTAATGCTCTATTCTTTTGAGAAACTACACAAAAAAATTAGTGATTACTAATCTGCATGTTTTTTGTTGTTACAATCTCGTCATAGCTTGCCCCTTGGGTGCTTACTGCCCTCGCGCTACACTCAACAAAGCAACCGGTGTATGTGATCCGTAAGTCACACTTACAAGTTTAATGTTTACAAAAGAGGTCAAATACATTTTTTCTATAATGTATATGATCGGCTAGCAGTTTTATACATGTTAGCAAATAAATAAAATTTTCAGGTATCAGTACCAAATACCTCCTGGCAAGGTAAACCATACCTGTGGTGGAGCTGACATATGGGCAGGTGACACCAGTAGTGAGGGATTATTCTGTTCAGCAGGATCTTTTTGCCCCTCTACTACCCAAAAGATTCCCTGCTCCAAAGGGTACTGCTGTTCGTTTTCCTAGTCATGTGCATTTGTGTTATCACATAACATAACTGATATGCTAAATGCACTTTCAGGCATTACTGCATGAAGGGTTCTACAAAGCCAAAAGGTTAAGTTCTCGTTAATATCTAAATTGCTGAATTTTTGTTAAGTGGATCTTTGTTTTTTGTTTTTCTTTATTTACTTCATCTTGTTACAATGTGTGGGAGCCTTTGCAACACTGGGGTACTAATGATGATGACTTCATCTTGTTACATTTTTGTGCAGTAGATTTCCAAGTCTTAGAAAATAGAGAGCACATTAAGTCTTTTCACCTTATAGGAGTGGTAGCCTGAAATTGTATATAGTGTCATCATTTTTTTCATTTTCAGCCCGCACCATGGATTAATTTGGTTCTTATACCATGTTAAGACCCGAGATTTCATTCTAAAAAATTAACTTGATAGAAGGAGTAGCTCGAGATCGTATGTAGTAGTTTATTGGCAACAATTGCCAATAAATGAAAAAAATGGAACTAGTTTCTGTAAAGGCATGTCTAGTCCTCATCTCTAAACACATGAAAGGAAGATAAACATAGAAAGATGTAAAAATGAAAGGATGTGAAACAGTAATATAGATGGCATACCTATACTATAGCTCATTCCTTACTGTGGGGGTTCTTTTCCATGCATGCAAATAGCTAGAGCATTAGTGACTGATACACTCCGTCCATTTCGATCATTGAATATGTCCTGGTTTGGCGGTTCCTTTTTACCACATCCGCTTAATTTTTTTTTTACTTAATTCTATGTTTATAGACCATGGATAATTGCCTTCCATTAGAAATTGACATTTTGGAAAAAAATGCAGCATGCTTTAAGTTGAGTACATGCAATCCAAAATCGGAGATCCAAAACCTGCACGCTTTTGGGTTCATGATAATTGTAAGTGAATTTCTCTTTTATGACTTCATATTTTTGTTGGGAAAATACTAAATAGTGATTGAAGTTTAATTTGTTTCCTGAGTAATTTATAGTGCGTATCAAATTCAAAACAAAATAAATATCTCAAGTATCTCTTCACCGATCTTGTAGAATATGTTGTGCAGTTTTGAAATAGATTCTTCAAGTGTGTTAAATGCTCATAGTTAACTAACGAGCTGCAAGTTCTATAGGCAGAATTTGACTTTCCTTTCTTTTTTTTGAACATGTAGGGTGCTTTAAGTTTTATACTTATAATCTTCTATAATTTCTCTGATCAAGTCATAACAACTCGGTATGCAAGAATGGCGAAGTCCAGGGAAGCTGCAGCAAAACATGCCCGAGAAACTGCACATGCAAGGGAAAGGTGGAAGTCTGCAAAAGATGTAGCCAAGGCTGGGGGTTTAGCTGGATTACGACAATTCTCTCGCACATTCTCAAGGAAAGGTAATAATACAACAAAGCAAGCAGATCTGTCGGGCCCATCACTACCACATAAAGACCCTGCAGCAGAAAAGAAAAAGGAAACAAATAACCTCACAAAAATGATGCATTCAATTGAAAAGGATCCAGAAAATCAGGAAGGCTTCCACATGCAGATTGGGGATAAAAACATTAAGAAGCAAGCTCTTAAGGCTAAACAATTGCATAGTCGTACCCAAATATTTAAGTACGCATATGGTCAACTTGAGAAAGAGAAAGCTTTGGAGCAAGTGCAGCAAAACATGACATTCTCGGGGATAATATCAATGGCCACAGATGAAGATATTAAGACTAGGCCCACTCTAGAGATTGCCTTCAAAGATCTAACAATAACTCTTAAAAAGAAGCATAAGCATTTGATGAGAAGTGTTACTGGAAAAATAATGCCTGGCCGAATATCCGCAGTCATGGGTCCATCAGGTGCTGGGAAGACAACGTTTCTTTCTGCAGTGGTAGGAAAGATTATTGGTTGCACAGTAACAGGCTCAATCCTCATAAATGGGAAGGATGTATCCATTCAGTGTTACAGGAAAATAATTGGTTTTGTACCCCAAGATGATATAGTCCATGGCAACCTGACAGTGGAAGAGAACCTCCGCTTCAGTGCACGATGCAGGTATTTTGTCAGTTGTTTATCTATCTAAATAGATATATAAGGAAAAGGGAAAAAAGTAAATAAGGACTCTCATATTGATATACACAGGCTTGAATTTTTACGGAGTATTCCCTCCGTATTTTAAAGTTTGCTACATTAGGTTTTGACACATTATTTGAGGAGGAAATAGTACGAGTAATGAATAGTGTAGAAAAAGTAGGAGAGAAGGTGGAAAAGTACTCCGTATGAAAGGGAAGATAAAAAGTAGAAAAGTAAGGGTAATTGAGTATTTTTAAAGGAAAAACGTACCAAAAAGGGAAAGTGTGGCAAACTTTTAAATACATCCTAAAAAGGAAATTGTGGAAAACTAAAATATGGAGGGGGTATTAATTAAATAATAATTGACTTTTATTTTCAGTTTGTTTGTTGTATTTTTTAGTGGTTTATCAACAATGGTTATCCCATATGGTAACTTTTTAAAGGTGTTAAAGGTAAACGTGTAACTTGATAATCTTTAATGCCAAATTGCCGATTCGATGACTGCCTCCTTTTCTTGTTTGAACTTTGAATACAAATGTTGGAGCTATAGCGTTTATTTTCTTTTATTTTGCTCAAGGTTGACATATGTTATTTCTCATATCCTGATGGTTTTATTGCTCCATGTTTTTTGGGCATTATTAAGGCTAGCTCAAGACCTTCCAAAGGCTGACAAGGTCCTCATCATCGAAAGGGTCATTGAATCACTGGGTCTACAAGGGGTGAGGGATTCATTAGTTGGGACTGTTGAAAAGCGGGGAATCTCAGGTGGTCAGAGGAAACGAGTTAATGTTGGGATGGAAATGGTCATGGAACCTTCATTGCTAATATTGGATGAGCCCACATCTGGTCTAGACAGTTCATCTTCCAACTTACTTCTTAAAGCTCTTAGGCGTGAAGCTCTTGAAGGGGTAAACATCTGCATGGTTGTTCACCAACCAAGGTTGGTATTTACATTCAGTAAACACTCTTCTTTATCACTATAGTCAAAGAAAATATCTTAGATCTAAAAGGGATGGTTACACAGGATTTTAGTTGGGATGGATCGCATCATTCAATTTGTTGTGTCATTGTTCAGTTCTTACATATAGAATTTCATTGTGGTCTTTCTCAACTTCAGCTACACATTGTACAAGATGTTTGATGACTTGATACTTCTCGCGAAAGGCGGTCTTATTGTGTACCAAGGATCTGTAAAGAAAGTAGAAGAATATTTTAAAGGCCTTGGAATAATTGTCCCAGATCGTGTAAATCCTCCAGACCACTTCATTGACATCCTTGAGGGAATTGAGAAACCACCTGAAGGTCTGACTATTGAACAACTTCCTGTTCGATGGATGCTTTATAATGGATATCGTGTACCCCCTGATATGATGCACTTATGTGATGAGATGGCAGCATCATCAAAGGGTGCCCCTCCACCTCCCCAACCTACTGCAGGAGAAACAATGTGGCACGAAAAGCGAGATTCCATACATCACAACTTCTTAGCATCACATGACTTATCTAATCGAGTCACTCCTGGTGTGGCACGCCAGTATAGGTACTACATTGGAAGGTATTGTTTTTTAGTTCTTCTCACTCACTATCGATTACATATATAATTAATTGAAGATTATGAGCCATTTAAGAATCTTTTGTAACCTCTACCATCCGATACTTTGCATGTTTGGAAAGATGTGATGGTTTCTGGCTTAGAAGACATTACCGTTGACAGAATTGTTTTTGTAATTTTTGTCCTCAGGTTAATCAAGCAGAGATTGCGAGAAGCTAAAGTACAAGCAGCTGATTATCTGATCCTTTTGGTGGCTGGAGCATGCCTAGGAACCCTTTCAAAGACAAAGGGTGACACATTCGGATATTATGGCTACATGTATAGTGTTATTGCAATCTGTAAGTTGAACTAATTAATTAACCCAACAAACAATAAACCAATGTTGCATATGTTTATGATTTCTCATTCTTCAGATGTGTTTCATGTTGACAGCACTCCTATGTAAGATTGCAGCTCTAAGATCCTTTACCTCGGACAAGTTAGAGTATTGGAGAGAGAGATCAAGCGGCATTAGCAGCCTAGCATATTTTCTTTCAAAGGATAGTGTGGACCTTTTCAATACTATCATAAAGCCCTTGGTTTTCCTTTCAATGTTCTATTTTTTCAACAATCCCAGATCAACATTTGGGGAGAATTACGTCGTCTTTCTGTGCCTTGTGTATTGTGTTTCTGGAATGGCCTATGTATTTGCAGTTTGCTTTCAACCCGGTCCTGCACAACTGGTACATATATCTTCCCTTCATGTTCTGCAATAACAATAGTCCAAATATGCAATTGTATAAGGTGTAGAGAAATGATAAAAAATAAATAATGTGTGGTCTATCTATCTATCTATCTATCAGCTTAAGCATTTAATTAAAGCGTATCACATCCTTCAGTTTTAAAATCGTGTTGAGATCTCATGCCTGCTCCCATACATATGCAGTGGTCCGTTCTTTTTCCTGTCGTTCTGACTCTCGTAGCAAACCAGGATGCGAATGACAAGGTTGGGAAGTATGTAGCAAGGTTTTGTTATCCAAAGTGGGCTTTAGAAGCCTTTGTTACAGTAAATGCACAAAGGTTTGTTTTTCAACATCTTTTCCTCCCATTGGAAATAAACATATTCAAAAACTGTATATATTTCAGGGATAAGCTTCGGTTATATTATGGCTTGTTTTCAGATTCTCTGGAGTTTGGCTGATAACTCGCTGTGGGGCACTAATGAAACTAGGTTTCGATGTTCACGACTGGACTAGATGTCTAATTCTGCTCTTGCTCACTGGCGTACTTAGTCGATTGGTAGCCTTCCTTTGTTTAATTAGTCTAGGAAAGAAATGACTTCACTGCCATAGTTTTGTAGGGAGATTGTACTGTATAAGCCACCACTTCTATGTACCATGCTATCATAAGGGGAGAGGAAGTAGGTAGGGGAGAGAAGAAAAAAAGTAGTTTGGCTGGAGAAAATAGAGTGGAAATATTTGATTAAAGTGATTTCATTTCCTCTTGTGGCGTGGAAGTTACTATTCATTAGGAGGAGGGAATACTAAAATTTTCTTCTCTAACTCCTCTCCCCAAAGCATGTATATACGTCTTGTAAATCCTTTTTAGACAGAAATGCTACAGGTTTACATATATGGTACGCTTTCACTGAGCATCTTTATATACGTCTTGTATATAGTTTCTATTTTTGTTTTTATGGACAGTCAAACCCCAATTTCTGATTCTTCAAATCCCACTTCTCCTTTAGGCAGATGTGTTAGAAATAGTCTGAAAGACGCTCCATGCCACCATGTATCCCACAACGGCCAAAGCGAAATCTCATTTCTCTTCTCCACAGACAAAAGTGGTAGACAGAATGGTAGTTGACAAGTACTAACCCATTTACATAATCCTCTAAAAGTTCTCACCTACTCCACACCTGATTTAATTCTCGAATTGATCATTCAATATTTGGTTGACCTTGTTTAGGTATTTCGCTCCACTCTACCACACACATTTAGTGCTTTTTAAAGCAATGTGAATGCATACCCCATTTTGGACTGCTTTCCTCGACTGATGTAGGAGTCGCATTGATTAAGGATAAACAAGTTTATTCCATACCAAACTTGTTGGTTGTTGGCATTATGTTTGTTTTAGTTTTCTACTTGGTGAATTGTAATGCCCAAAATTGGTTTTATGATTTTTTATGTCGTGCTAAATGACCAAAATGAATCACTTAAAAAGTTTTAACGTGTAATCTTTTATTGAGTGGGCTGCAAAGTAACTTTTTTTTATAGTGCTAAGTAACTTATTAAGATGAGAAAAACGTCAGATAGGGCCTCGAACTTACAAAAAATGTCAAATAAAGCCTTATATAAAAGGTTCTGTCCGGCCGACGTCACTTGGGGCGGCTTCCGGTGGAATTTTTAGATTAAATTTTGTGAGCATCTTATTCATTAAGTGCAGTTTACTAATACCAAATTTCAGCTAAACCTTCAATCGGGAAGACATTCAAATAAATTCTTTAAGATAACTGCGCTTTTAACAGCGCACTTATCTTCAAGAATTTATTTGAATGCCTTCCCGATTGAAGTTTTAGCTGAAAATTGGTACGAGTAAACTACACTTAATGAATAAGATGCTCAAAAAGTTTCATTGAAAACTTTCACCGAGAACCGCCCCAAATGGGGTCGCCCGGACAGAACCTCATATATAAGGCCTTACTTGACATTTTTTTGTAAGTTCGAGGCCTTATCTGACCTTTTTCCCTATTAAGATTTACAAAATACATGAAAGGTAATGTATGCTTTTAGTTTGAGATACCCCCAAATTCACACGATGTAACATAATAATGTCATAGAAAATGAAGGAAGAGTAAAAGTGAACAAGGAATTGTATGTAAAAGTGGATTCTAAGGAAGGAGAAAAGGTTATTTAGAGACTTGCTCGCCTTCGTGACTGTATGACTCAAGATATCGGAAAAGTTAAATGTGTGAAAGATGTTGATCAAATGATACTAATGGAGGATGAGGAAATAAAAGAGAGTTGAAAGTCATACTTAAACGCATAAAAAAAAGCCACCAGAAATAGGTGTAGTTATTTGAGACAATATTTGAATTGACTAATTCATGTGTGGGATAAATGTTAATTCAAATGAGACATAAGAGAGGTATTTACTTATTGGTTTGATGCGTGTGTAATATATCATAAACTGCATGAGTTAATTAGTAAATAAAATGTAGTTAATGAGTAAACAAGCTGTTATTCTAAAATTTGAAAATATAACTAATATTATACATTTATACCACCCTAACCCTTCTCCATTCTGTCGCTAATTAGAACGTTCTGAGTGTAAGGAATCACATATACGTAGTACACTTCAACCCATATAATATTTTCAACAACATTTAAGGTGACATAAATGAAGTAAAAATCTACTTGTATACATTTTTGTACACTTTGTGTATATACCATGGTTCTAAAAACCGGCCTAGCCTAGTCGCTAGGCGGTTGTCGAGCGCCCCAATTTCGCTCTAATCGGTGGAAAAATTTGTTTCGGGGCCTAGACGGCTAGGCGGGCGACTAGGCGGGCTAGACGATAGCTAGGTGGCCTGGACTACAAAATTTCCCGAACCAACTTTTTTCCCGTTTTATCTTAAAATATCGTGTGATCAAGAAGTATTCTATTCCTATATAATTTATTTTTATATTCTCACAATAAAAAAATAATTTTAAAATATAAATAAACTTTTTAGAATGTATTTTAAGATTTTAAGAGAGTAAAAAACACAAATATCTTAATTTATTTATTAATTATTTTATTGTTGATGATTCTACTATAAAAAACTTAACATCTAATGATTATATGAGCTATTTCTATTTCAAAATATTATAAAATTATTAGTAATATAATTAAAATTCAAAGGAAACAAAACGAAAACAAAAACTGATGGAAAAATACCTAGGCGTCCTAGTCAGCGCCTAGGCACCCGCCTAGGCGGCCAGTCACCGCCAGACATGCGCCTAATGCCTTTTAGAACACTGGTACATACACAATTTTTCTAAAAATGCAGAAGTTGTCTGTGTACACAGACAAGTGTGTGAAACGGTACAAAAACTGTGTATTCCAAACAGTTCTCATAAATGAATGAACAATGTTGCTTATCCTTTCGAATTTAGATGATTCATAAAAAAAACTAACCAGTTCAGGTCTATGAAAAAAATACACGAATAGAAGTTATCTAAATACATCACCCATCCTTGAAGTTCCCAAAACGTGTATAGCTTTGCTGTGTTTTTCTTTTTGGCAGTGCTACAACTGTAGTTCAGGTTTACTCGGACTACACAAGGAGGCTTTAGATGAGAAATTTAAGGAACATCTTAGTATCAAAATTTGGTTTTCTAACCAAAGTTCGACAAATGACCACCAAATGCTCTTGTTGTTCATGAAACATTAGTCAGTAACAGGAGGTGGCAATTCCATCAGGATAGTTGGAGAAATTTCGAATGCCATGATGATGATGATGATAACAAAGTACATTCTCTTAAATAAAATCGTGGTTTATATTGTTTAAATAAATTGCATTAAAGTGATGAGGTAACGATAAGTAAACTGTAAAAGCATTTCAAACAAATGTACATTGAAGCATGACCACTGACAGGTAGCTTCAGTATAAAAATCAAGTTGTTGGAACTTGGAAGAACTCAGTTACAATGCGTTTTATAGCCTTTTTTTTGTATAATCAGCCGAACCTTTTACTACAGTCTACACACTAATTTATACGGTTAGCTGATAATGAACCAGTGTAGGGTTTTGTTTTGATTGAAATTGTGAAAGATGATGACTTTAGCAATATCAGCAACATAGTAATTAGTAAGTATCAGCCACTGAGCCACAGTCAATATTAACTTTAGTCAAATTAATCATTAACTGCTGATAGGTAATCAAAGGTCCAAATAATGAAGCAAAATTTACCAAATATTATGAAAACCTTAAATATGTTCTTGAACCCATTATGAAAATGCAAGGCAAAATCAAATCATGACCCTCCAATAATGCTAGCAAATCGCCAGTGTATTATGTACCTTGTAAACACTAAAAATGATAATGTTTTTATTCAAGTTCCATAACATATCAAACATGGTTCTTACTACAAATTGATTGCAATTACCCCAGGTTCAAGAACTCGAAGGAGGGGGTGAACTTGAACCTGAATCGGCATTGTCACGGCGAAGCCTATCAATTAAGCCTTCCAGCTCCTGGCGAGATGACTCTCTACCGAACATGAATCCATACCTGTAGTAGATGCACAAACAAAATATATACAAAAATACATTACATGAAATTACTGATAAACAATGACAAAAGTAATTACCAGTAAGAAACAGCCGAGAAAACGCCAGCAGTGGCAACTGTTTGAAGCAGACTGAAGCTCTTCTGCATTGACGTTTGATGATTCTGCTAGTGATCCCTGCTCGATCTCTGCCACGATGTAAAGTAATGACTAGAGAGAAATGTTCTTGGGCCGCGCGACTAGGACAAAAATGGTGAGCAAATATTATGGCCCCGATCAATTTGGTGAAAGAAAGTAGAGTGATAAATGAGAACTAATTTTGAGTATTGACTAGAGAACATTGAATTTGAAGGACCAAATCAATTTTGAACACAGCAAAGTCTTCAATTAGTTTAGCGAACACAGGCAGTAATGAATGTAACTAAGAAACTAGGGTGTTTAATTCAGAACTCCCTTCACCAGTTTCACTATTCACTTTCGGAAAGAAAGATGAAATCAACTTCTTTCCTTTCTTGTCAATGTGTTCATTATCCATTCTAAAAAACATTTACAATATTGGTATAAATTAAAATACTTATATAAAAATATAACTACTAAGGAAAAAACCAATATTGTACACTTGAACATAAAAGTAAAAAGTATTCTCAATTTTCAATTGTATAATAACTAAATCATTTTCTACTCTTTAATTCTATCTTTAATCATTATAAATTTATAATGAATGGAACACTATTTTATTATGTACTGAAAAATTCAAATAATAATCATAAATCATAACAATTCCCTAAAATAATAAGGTATATCATACCACATTGGCACATTCACAATTCAATGAAATCACAATATAACAGCAAGTCAATCAAAAAAAATAAAAAATCTAAAACAGAAATAGAATTTGGAGAATTGGAGTTTACCTGGAGGGAGGCGCAGAGCCGCAGAGGCGGACAGCGGACTGAGTCCAGAGAAGATAGGCGGCACGGCTGATGTTCGCGTCTTCCTTGCAGGTTCACTTCGCAGCTCCTTCATCGGTTCATCCTCGTCGCAGGACTTCAATCGCAGCTCTAATTCGCGTAAGTCAGAAGGTCGAGAAGCGCAGCTGCGCAGGTAAGTGCTGGGATGGGGGCTGGAGCGATGGGCGGGGAGTTAATTTTGGGCTGGGCTTAGAATTAATTTTGAGATGAACTCAGAATATAACATATACCTATACTGACTTTAAAATAAATTGGGCTGGGCTGAAGCCCTCAAATACATCCGCCTCTGGTTTCAGTGAACATCAAATAGAAAATCTCACTTAACACAGTTAGAATGGTTAGACTTATGGAGTACCGTTTCCAGATTGCTGCGTATCGAGGTGCCGCCGGATAGAGGGAGTTGGTTG